TCAGTGAACGAACTCGGCGTTCTAAAAGATCCGTCCCGCATCTGAAAAGTGTCGATTTGAATCTGGGGCATGGGAAAAGAGAAAAGTATAGTCGAATTACATACGTTAAGGACGGCACAACTAACGACTTTCTTAAGAAACTTTTATGAACAACTTGTATCTACTGGTACAAAAAATGCTCGAAAACAGTTGCGACGCATGACAATATTCTACAGAAACTAAAAAATAACAACTCAACGCTTACCCGTGATCTTAGAATGCGGATGATGAAACTATTTCATATAATACTAAACAATATTACATAAATACTACAACTAAACAGTTTAAAGGAAACAAAATAGATCCCAACAAAGCAGGTAGCAGTTTTGAAATGCAAACTTCAAAGACAACGGAGAGCCCCAAATATCGCGCTCCAATCCGAAACTGTTGGACGAATCAAGATTCTTACTCNAACAAATCTCCCGGAAGCATAGTTGCTGGTGGCTACATAACTTTTCTTTTTATAAATATTTCTTGTCGCAGTTTATCTATGCTGAATTCGTTTTAAGTAGCGCGGACTTCGCTTTTTATATTTACCATTTGCTTGGAAACAAGCCACGTCTTGTTTTAGAATCGGGAGCTAAGGGCTTTTTTAGGGCTTATTGTAAATTTTTAATAAGCTTTTCGAAAAGTCGCTAGTCGTTCTAGGCATTTCCCTTGCCTTTTTCTCCAGCATTACTAGTTTGTCGAAAGTAAGAAGTCTCCAGAATGTTCTGTGGTTCTTTATGGAGTTTTGTATGTGTTTTCAATTGTGCAATGATCATTCAAACGTCGTTCTCTGTCTTTTTGCTAAATGATCGATTGACTTGTTCTGATTGATTGTAATTCCGTCCGTCCAGTCTTGCCAAATGCGTTTTTTTTGTTTCAGATTTAATTTAAATTAGAAAAGATGGGTCGCGGTGAGCTTGAAGAAATATGTGATCGGTATCTCAGTCGCAGAGAGGAACAACAAAAAGTGACAGAGGCGGTGGAAAGATGCTTAAGGAAAGGATACGATTACGATAAAATGAAGGTAGTTTTTCGCATATTTTGAAAAATGTTTACCTGTGATTTCAGCGAAATATTTCTGATGCTCCTTTTTTTTCTCCCATAATGTTATGGATGTCTGGAGATGCCATTTCACAAAAAATGAATTTTTCAGGACCGTGTGTTAGAAGCTATAGCAGACTCTCATCGAGCGCACAAGGTTATCTCAGCAATATGTATAGCATATCCACAATTCCGCAAAAGAACTAAGGTTGGTTCCGATGATTTCACACCGTATCAACTTTCTAAAAGTTCTTTCGCATTTATGAATCTTCACACATTTCTGCTAGATTCTCTTTCGAACGTAGAACATCCAGTTATCCCTTTTAATGGTATTATGCTACTTATAAAATCTTTTTGCTATTCTTGTTTGGCTTGTTAACAGAGATTGCTTCGAAATCAACCGGACCTTCTCTTTTCGGTTCACGTGATACTGTGGAAATCAAAGGCTAAATTCTTAATTAGTATGGGAACTTCTCTGAAGTCAAGCGGTTTGCATTATTATGTTTCTGTTGTTCCGTTGCAGCTTCAATGTTCGGTAAGATAATGAAATCGAGGCCGTCGTGTTGAGGGTGGTAGAGGGTTACCAAGTTAAAACCAACGATGTGAAAGCTGTGAAATGCTATCCAATTCATATTTTTGAATTTAGCACTAATTAGTAACCACTGTAATCCTTAAGTGAGCTTAATTGTTTCAGTTCAGCTTTTGTTCTTGCAATGGACTGTTCCCATTCGCATAAGTTTCACTTACTGACGCCTCCTCGAACAGATCTGAAATCGGGCTTCCTTTTCCAGTTGGGAACTTTTTCAATACGCAACAAATAGTTTAACAAGATTCCTTCCCATTTTTATATTCAAAAATCATATAACTCTGCGATTTCAAGCGAAGGGGATGGTGCAGTCCATTTGTTTTTTGATGGTTTTATGTGCCAAGAATATTTGCTTTTAATGCTCCCTCTTTCAGTTTGAAGAGAACAAGGATGATTCGAAAAGGCGTAAAAAGGAGCACAGTCATAGAGACAGATCCAGAGAAAGGAGTAGAGCCAAGGATAAGGAAAAAGAAAAAGAAAGTGAAAGGGAACGTCGGCGACGGGATGAAGTGAACAAGAAGGAGCTAGAAAAGGTACATCCGGGGGTGATGCTGTATACGTTCTTGTTCTTCATAAATGAAATACTATTTACAGTATTTTTCCGAGTTGCTACTTACAGGAGAAAGAGAAAGAGAAATTGAAAAATCTGGCTAAGGAGTTGTACCAAAAGAAGTTGGAGGAAGAGGAAGCCAAGCGAAAT